TGCAGCAGCGGTCAAAAAGGCAAATAGGATGCTAGGAATAGAAAGGGATAGAAAATAGGACCCAGAATATCTTACTGCCCCTGCATAAAACTATGGTACGCCCACATCTTGAATACTGTGGACAGATGTGGGCTCCTCACCTCAAAAAAAATATTTTGGCCCTTGAAAGGGTTCAGAAAAGGGCAACTAAAATGATTAGGGGTTTGGAACGGGTCCCATAGGAGGAGAATTTATTAGTTCCCTAAATAGAAGAACTAAAGGACACCAAATGAAATTAATGGGGAGCAGGTTTAAAACTAATAAAAGAAAGTTCTTCTTCACACAGCGTGTAGTCAACCTGTGGAACTCCTTGCCAGAGGAGGCTGTGAAGGCTAGGACTATAATAGAGTTTAAAGAGAAGCTAGATAATTTCATGGAGGTTAGGTCCATAAAAGGCTATTAGCCAGGGGATAAAATGGTGTCCTTGGCCTCTGTTTGTCAGAGGCTGGAGAGGGATGGCAGGAGACAAATCGCTTGATCATTGTCTTCGGTCCACCCTCTCTGGGGCACCTGGTGTTGGCCACTGTCGGTAGACAGGATACTGGGCTAGATGGACCTTTGGTCTGATCCAGTACGGCCATTCTTATGTTCTTATGATTATTTAAATAGCCGTTTGATTTTCCTATGTCTAGTAAACTCATGAGGGAAAGGCCCCTCCCTGGCCCCAGCACAGCCCCCCTTCCAAACAGCAAAGCCTGCTGCAGTATGTGAGGGGGCTGGGCTACATGATCTCCCAAGGTCTCCTCCGTTCCGCGATGAAATCTTCTCAAGAAGGTGTTGAGACTATTTTACAGAAAGTGGAAAGTGTGAAGCAGCCACCAGCTGGGAGTCTCTAGTAGCTCCCCCTCTAATTGCTGTAGCAGTGATTTGGTGAAGGATGGGACATGGAATTGGGAATATTTATCTAACCCACAGAAGAATGTGTTGCCCCTGCTCTGGGGCAGCGTCACACACTGAGGGCAGGTGTCACTAATCCAGCTTTGCTCCTGCACTTACCTGAGCAAACCACACCGGCATCATTGTTGTGTGAGCACGGAGAGGCCCCCAGGGCAGTGACAGGACAGTACCCCAAATGAGGTTCAGTCCCTTCACAGTGAAATGTGTCTGCCCAGACAGGGCCGGTTCCCTTCCCAAAGTGCCCTCCTCCTGGCACCAACACAGCGAATCCACAGTCGAGCTGACGACAGAGAACGTTGGCATCTGATAGATTCCAGTGTGAGTCACAGAGGGTTCCCCAAGCACCAAGCTCCTGGATCTCCACCCTCCCGGAGCAGGCTGTGCTGCCGTTCACCAGCCGGAACCCTGTGAGCCCTGGGGAGAAGGGAGAAGGGTTTAGAGAGATGAAGCTTTGATCTATTTTATAACAAATGGGTCAGGGTTTGGCTGAGAGGCTCCAGGAATCAGGCGCTGGCTCCTGAAGGCTACCGCTGCCAAACCAAGCATTGTGGGCACTCCCCATATGGCAGTACCACAGGGCTAAGATAGCTTCCTGCCCTCCCTTTGCTCTCACTCCCAGAGGCATCCGGCACTGTCCTAGTAGCCCCTGGCACGGGAAGTTGTGTCTGAATGCCACCCTGTGCCGAGTGCTGACTCCACAGTTCCCATGGCCTGGAGCTTCCTGCCCTCCACCCCTGCCAGGAGTTGCTGCCATAGGGATGTGCTGTTGCTTTTGGGAGCTATCTGAGGTAAGTGACATCCCCTCCCACACACCAATCCACTGCCCCAGACAAGAGCTCCCACCCAAATATCCTCCCAGATTTCACAACCCTCCCACCCCCAACCCCTGCCCCAGCCCTGAGCCTTCTCCTGTACCCGACCCCTTCCGAGACTCCACACCTGCCCCTCCTGCTGCATCCAAATTCCCTCCCAGTGCCAACTCCAAACACTCCTTCCTGCCCCCCCACCCGTGTCCCAGGCTCACCCTGGAGCCCCTCTCATGCCCAAACTCCCTCCCAGAGGCTGCACCCCCCTCCTGCACCTCAGCCCTTTGCCCCAGTGAGGGGGGTTGAGAGTGAGTGAGGAGGCAGGGGGTTGGCGTGAATGGGGGTAATGGCCTCCGAGAAGGGGCAGGGTGGGGGTGGGCAAAACCAGTTTGGGTTTGTGCCATTAGACAGTTGGCAACTCTCCTCAGGGAGATTTGTCCCTTCTCTGATTGTCTTGGATCATTGGCATTTTATAAGCTGATGCCAACTTATTATCACAGCTCCCTACAGAGTGTGATCATGTTACTGCTGCGTCCTAACCCCAACTACACACCCTGGGATTTTAAACACTTAGGACTGAATCCTTACGTGAGCATATGACTCCGACATCATTTTTGTGTGAGCATGTCTGGCTGCCGTGTGACACCCTGGGACAGTACGCGTGGTGGGACTCAGTTCCTTCACACTGGAATGCTTCAGCCCAGACTTGTCCACGTCCTTCTCCAAAGTGAGCTCCCCCTCGGACAGACAGAACCGTTCCACACTGCAGTTCGGTACAGATGACGCTGGCAACTTTGAGATCAAAGTGCGCATCGCAGACCGTGGCCCATAATTCTCCATCTCTTATCTCCACACGTCCTGAGCAGTCACTGTGCCCTGCAACCAGCCGGGGCTTAATGTGCCCTAGAAAGTCAATGAAGACTTTGGTTAAAGGCCCATCATGGTTCATTGGCTAAGCACAGATATTAATTATAAACAGAAAAGGAATAGATAACATAAAGAAAGCACTGGAATTAGATAACAGTCAATATACACCCTAACAATGATGGAATTACACTGCAAAGGAAGATCACAAAATTGTTAACAATGATTCAGAAAAGGCAGAAATATTCAATAAAGATTTCTGATGTTGCATAAAAGCAGAAGGTATATTATGTGAAGAGGATGAACTACTCTTCAATCCATTGATAACTAAGGAGGAAGTTAAACAGCCTTTTCCAGGGTTAAACATTTTTTACGTCGGAAGCCTAAAAAAAAAAACCACACAGAAAAGTAGAAACGTCTGGTTGGAAGACACCTCAAGAAATCTATCCCAGCACACCAAAGCAGGTATGATTGTACCTAACCCTTCACTTTCAGATGTCAGTACCATGTTCCACTGTTCAATTCACATGATAGTTAAAAAGCTTTCCTGATATTTAATCTGAATCTCTCTTGCTGCAATCTGAGATGATTATGTCTAGTCCTGCTCTTGGTGGAGAAGTGCAACACTTGACAAACAATCTTGCAAATATTTGAAGACTTCATCAGGACCTGCCCCCTACCCCAGTCTTCTGTTCTTTAGTCTAAAACATGCCTCATTCTTTCAACGTGTCCTCATGGCTCATGTTTTCTCAACCTCTTGTTATCTTTGTTGCTCCCCCTCTGGACACGCCAATCTGTCCGCATACTTCGCAAAGGGTGATACCCAAAACTGGACACAGCACTCCCGGTGAGGCCTCAGCAGCGCTAAGTAAAGCAGGAAAATTACCCCCCATTTCCTACCTATGGCTTTCTTGTTAATTCAATTCAGAATGACACTCCCCTTTTTCACAACAGCGTCACAGCTTAATCTGTGGTCTACTATAACCTCCAAATCACTTGCTGCAGTACTGCAGTCAGTTATTCACTTTTTGAGGGGTTATTTGATGTTTCCTTCCTTGGACTAGTACTTTGCTATTGTGTTTAGTGAATTTTAACTTCCTGATTTCAGATCAGTTCTCCAGTTTATCAAGATCATTTTGAATTTGAACCTTTCCTTCCAAAGAGCCTGCAACCCCTCCCAGCTTCATGCCATCTTCAGATTGTGTGGGCCTATTCTCTACTCTGTCATCCAAGACATTTAAGAAAATATTGAGTAGTACAAGCCCCAGGACAGGGTTCTAATGTATTCATCCACAGGAACACAGCAATCCTAGAGAAAGAGATTAAAGCAACTGACAGCCTACAAGCCCATGTCTTACTAAAGTTCAGCAATTCCCTGAAAATCTGGGCTGACTCAGCTTAACGCAGGGACTCCTGATTCTGGGAATTGTGTTTCAGGTTCCTTCCTTGCTGCTCCCACCCCACCCCCTGTTTATCAGGGCTCCCTTTTAATAATCCCCCAGCTCTCAGAGTAAAATGTCCTACCAAGTTAGGGGGCTTGTGCTGAGTTTGGCCAGATTCAAAAGTTTAAAGGCCTCGACACCTGTTTTGTCAGTTAGATACCAGTGACTGGGTTTTCTGAGCCACTGTCTGCCTTCCTGGGACATGTGGGGAGAGCAGGTGGAGGCTGCCCTTTGAACCCTGGTGGGAAATGTGAAAATAGCAGGAAGAGGAACTGAGGTACAGGTAATATTCACAGAAATACAGCTGTGTCCGAAAGGGCTAAGAGGACCCTTAGATGTATGAACAGGGGAGTAGTGAGGAGACCTGACTGAAATGACCTCCGCACTAGTCCAGGAGGGCGCGCGCCGTCTACGGCCCCTGGCAGGGTCCTGGGTGCTGGGGGACTGGGCGGGGGAGAGCTGGCTGCCACTGGCTGGGGGGCTGCTCTCACTGGGTGAGGGTCTGCAGGTGCTGACAGGCCTGGCTCTTGGCCACGCCCAGTGGCCCCAGAGTGGCCACCAGGGGGAACTGGGAAGAGCTGGAGGCCCCCTAATATGAAATAAGTGTCTACACAGCGCTTATTTCAAATTAGCTATTTCGAATTAGGTGTTATTCCTCGTAGAATGAGGTTTACCTAATTTGAAATAAGGGCTCCGCGATTTCAAATTTATTTCAAAATAGTGGTTTGCATGTGTGGACGCTATTACAGTTGATTCGAAATAACCCCTGAGAGACGCCTGCAGGTAGCGGAAATGAGATGGCCCTCGTGGGGGTGGCAATAACGGTGATTTGGGAGGACGGTGAAGGCATTATTCCTCGTAGAATGAGGTTTACCTAATTTGAAATAAGGGCTCCGCGATTTCAAATTTATTTCAAAATAGTGGTTTGCATGTGTGGACGCTATTACAGTTGATTCGAAATAACCCCTGAGAGACGCCTGCAGGTAGCGGAAATGAGATGGCCCTCGTGGGGGTGGCAATAACGGTGATTTGGGAGGACGGTGAAGGCAGGACAGGCAGGACAGGCAGCACGGTAGGGATGGAAAGGGGGATGGGCTCGTGGCCAGATGCTGGGTCGGGATGGAGAGAGAGGGAACGGTAATGGTTGGAGAGGGATTAGGGACGGGCGAGGACTCAGGGCTGGAAATGGGTTCATAGAGGGCGGGATCAGGGCAAGGGAGGAAACGGATGAGGAACGGATTGGGATATGGGAGGGGACCAGAAATTTGGGCAGGGTCTGAGGGAAGATCCCTTGGGTTTGTGCCACTGGGCTGTGGCTCCTCCCAAATGGGGACCAGGGGGGCAGGAACAGGGAGGGGGCCCACGCCGACACCAGGTTCAGGTGGTGGAACAGCGACTTTGACCACGGTGTCAGCTAGGGGAATGTTCTCTCCTGGGCCCCCACCGGGAAGGGGAGACGACTGCCCCGCCTCATTTGTGGGAGAGAGGGTGCCCTCAAGCTCTGGGCCTGGCCACTCGGTGCCAGCCATCATCCCTGAGGGCTCGCGGCTTCAGCTTCAGCGCCCGAGTTGGCTGGGCCAATAGGTGACACCAGGGGCGCCCCAAGAGCGAGGACAGGGTCGGCCACCTGGGGCATACGGGTGGGGAGAGGACGGAGCAGCGCTACAAAATTGCTGCCCAGACTGAGGGCCGATGGCAGAGGGTCGTCCTCCCCCGGGTAAGCGGGGTCTGACCCAGGGCCTCAATCTCCTCAAAGATGGAGACAAGCTCCTTCCCCTCGGCCCC